CGATTGTTTCAGAATTTCCGGTTGTCTAAACTTTTTTTCAAAACCATGAAGATGGCTGAAAATGGTTGCCTAAAGCTTTTCGGTAGGATTCGATCTTCGTAAGTACGTGCCAGAGAATTTACACATGCCTGGTGATGATTTGTCAAAAAAAGGCATTAAATTAAATGGCCTACGTTAATTATATATTTTCCTAATGTGATTAGTTTGTTTGATCCTAAATGGAACACGCTTCTTTGTCAATACTTTTGCCGGACGGCGAGTACCACCTTTTCATAAGGTTTGCACAATGACGTCAAGAACTTCTAGCAGTTAAATAAATAGACTACGGTCGATATAAAAATTTTCTTTGTCATTAAAAGTGAACAAAATTAGGAACTTGGAGTTAGCAAGTCTAATCCATACCATGAAATACAGGTTTTCCGGCTTTTCTCTCATACGGAATCCCATGTTGTTAAACATCGGATTTACCACTTTCCAAGGAGCGAAGTTTTGTTCGTTCTTCAAATAATCGACTATATCGAAGAAATGATCGATCGTCAGCATTCCTTTCCTATACAAAGTTGCATTGTTGTTCACCATTGCTTTATCTGAAGATTTCAATTTATTTACTATTTGCTTGTTACCTGTTTAGAAGCCAGGAATCCCCTAAGAGTTGTACTCGGTTTTCCACAGGGATTTTCTACAAAAGATAAAAATCATAATGAGCATCGTATGAGAACTTTAGTCTTCTGAAAAAGAAGAAACAAACAATTTAGCTGATAACTAAGAGCATTGAAAACTGTTTATGTCATATGAGGAATCATTAGCGTTGCCTATACCTTTGCATGTGAAGTCTAGTGACGTTATCATCATAACCTACTTTCACACATTCTTATGAAAAGTGGATAAATGACATATGCCTAAGGAAAATATTGAAGCAAATGCCACACCCCCATGTCTGAGCAGAGCAAGAAGTCAGAAATATCTGTGCAACAACTTAAGTTCACATGAAAGGTGCCGAAAGATTTCTTTTAACAGAGTCATGAGTAAACTGTTGTGAAACACATTGAAAAAATTTAACTCCGGAATATTTTCTAATCGCGGTTAGTTTATTTTGCATGATCAATAGAACAGTTCCTGTATTGTAACGACTACTACTTTGCTCCATTTCTGTAGATCAGTACAAAGAAACCTGTCGCAGTTGGAATCATATCAAGAAGCAAATAAATTTTACTGATAAGCACATAGCGTTAGGACTAGATTTCAGTCAAAATAACTTTATTCAGAGTTTCTGCTGTTACTTTAGTGCTTAAGGGGTGTGGCGAATTAGGACCATTGAAGTGTTCCTCGTTTCTCAGCCATTTGATGTTGTCTTGGTAAATTGTTTTCAGTCATTAAACGCTTCATTACAACCAGCTATTGCAGGCACCCGATGAATCATTGTATATTTAAAATTTTAAGCACTTAATTAAGATGATCCAAGTAAGGCATAACCTCGAAGTTTAATGATAGCTTCCAGACAGTGGCTTTCCTATTCCAGCTGAAATCATAACGTTTCAAGCTCTGGCACAGGATTTACTCGTTAAAACCATTGCTCCTTGCTACTGGTCGCCTAGATGGAAAATTTAGGCACATCGGGACTCAATGAAGTCTGAGTGACGGGTGCATCAACATGTGTCCGAGTGAAGCGATTAAGGTTACGTTCGAATGATAAAAAATTCATCGTCATCCGTAAGTAAGCCAATACATAAGTATAAACTAAAATAAAATGTAACAGCGGTGTTCTTGGTAACTGAAGCGAATAACAGTTTCTTAATTCTGCCGGTAAATATGACATATAATCAATTTGCGATGCGGGATTTGCTCGACGTAAGAGCATTGCCTTTGTTTTGCCTGGAGGGAATGTTTCAGCAGGTCAAAGGCAAGACGGTATTGCAGCTTTTTCAGTGCTTTAGACGCAGGCCCCATCTGTCAGTTGAGCTGAACAAATTTTATATCAAACGGATCAAACGGATACCTTGCGGAAGATGACTTGAAACGACTTCTTATTACGTTTTTGGAAGCCAGAAAACATAAAAAGCTGGCATTTGATCGAACCGCGACAAAGCACTCGATAGGCTACTGACTCGATGCCATGTAAACGCTGACGAAGGTGAGGTAATTGCAAAGGTCGTGTTTTGGCAGTCTGTGAAGTTGGGCAAATACTTGAATAACAGATTCGTTTTATCCCGGTGACATTCGACCATCATGATATCGGTTTTGTTAAAATAACCCCTGCCTTCAGGGGCATGGACAGGATTAACGGAATACGCAAGAGTCATGAGGTACCGAAATGCTACTCAGCCTGGCTTTCATGCTCTGAAAAATAGTCATTATTTTAACAACATAGAGGTCACGCTGCTTCACTAATTGCAGGACAAAAATAAGTTGTTGATCAATTAATCGTTTTACATGGCAACCAGTAAACCATAACTTGTAACTGTTGCTTCGGTTTGCATGGATATTTTCGCGGCTTGGAGCTTTGACCGATGAAGATCCAAATAGCTGAGTTAACTAATAACTGACACAGTAATTGTTTGTCAATTTTATCATTGCCTGACGAATGCCGATGTTAATTCGGTTGAAACGTTGAAAAAGCTTTAAATTGATTTCTTTTTTTACCTCCAGGCTATCGACCATACAGTCCTGAGATCACTGGCTTCAAATTTAATACCGTAAAGCTTTGAAAATTTTGTATATTTTCGTGTACTTATGCTGTGGCGCAGGACAATGCAGCCTTCGTCTCAGAGGCTATACTTTCACCTTCAAAAATGACCTCATTGCAAGCTAAGGTTCGCGGCAGGAAACCTTACAAGAAATTAACTAGTACAACGTCGAATCGATAATCGATAATCGTTTCGATGGTGGCGAAATTGCGAGACTGTGTTGCGATGCATAAGATGAAAGTAATGTATACTCATCTAATACCGTATGATTTTTCTTCAGCTGATCTGCAAGTAGCTGCCAATTTTTAGAATCGTAATTGACGATGTAGTAACCATAATGACGATAATTGGCCAGTAACCATGAACTGCTGACCGCTCGTATTAATTTGAAACGTTGATCCTGTGAAATCCAGACAAATTTCGGCGTTTGATGTGTTTCTTGAACGTACCAGAAAGGAATGGTCCATGTATCACTAAAATACACTAACAATACCAAGTAAAACACAATGATACACAGCAAAACAACTGTACTCGTTTATAATGTTGATAGCGAATCGCCTTTGTGACAATAAAGCGGTCCCGTGGGTATAGTTTCGCGTTACGGTAACAATCGGATATCCTCCGTGTGCAATCCAAGTCGTTAGGAACTGCGATACGTTCAGCAAGTGGTTTTCAAGAATAGGTTGATTGTGTTGCTTTACGGTCTAAAAAAAACTTTTTGATTTGCTGCAGATAGCTTCATTTCGTCGTCATCACCTTTTGGAAAATAGACAGCAGATCATCTTTATTGATAATCCTATGCGAAAACTCGGAAAACAGTTTCTAAAACTAATCAATTAGATTTAAATACATTTTTGAGCATCATCATATTTACTCTAAATGCGAGCTGAAATATGTCAGCCAATCCACCTGATGAAAAAACGCGGTCCATCATGTGGAAAAGCGAGCCGGCCTGAAATAATAACCATGCTGGTAATTTCGATTGAACGAAATGCTATGTTTAACTCACTCTTAAATACAGAATCACCGTTTCTAGATTTCTGCTTAGTGGTTCATCCAAACGGGGTCGCATGTCTCCTGCGTCAAAGTTCATGGCTGATCGTTGAATTTCAAGTAGAAATAAAGATTCCTGAATTCCAAAAATATACCCATGAATAGCGAGTGTGGCTTAGCGTATCGAAAGATTGCTTAACCTTGAAACAACATTCACCATTAACTAGAATCCGTTTTACCACGAGTATTTTAATGCTCAGGCATATGTGTTTTTAGTCCGAGTTATTAGAAAAAAACAGGGGATGTTGAATAAACAGTTAACAATTGAGTAGCAGAAGAATTTGTATTTTACTCATTACCATCACCACAGTGAAATTCATGATGAAAAAACCATCATGGCCAAGTCAGGGCAAAGAAGAGTATATCTCTCGGAGAAAATACTGCACCGCACGATGGACCCAAGCAGATCTACGTGTCACCGGAGGGTTGGAAATTTCAGGCTCATAGATTTCCCAGCGATCTTCATAAGCAAATTAAATACGGCTTGCATGAATTGTTCATTAGCAACACCTAGAATTTTATATCCCATGACAATCAAAATATGTCGTCAATTTCCCACGTTGATATCAGCATTGCCCAATGGTGTAACGACCAAGGTTCTTGCATCATAAAGCAGGATACAGTGTCTCTTGCTTCTTCTCAAAATAAACGTTCAAACATGCAAGATTTTGTTCAAGACTACTCGTCCATCTGAAGAAC